AGATAAATGGGTTTCAGTGGGAGATGGAGACTTAACCTCCAGATGAAGACAGCGTGTTGATGGAGTTTAATAAACTGGCGGTTTAGGCAAAGCTGTGATTTCCGCTCAAACCTGGGATTTGTCGGGCTAGAACAGCGCACGTTGAGAAAGATTACACCTTGCTAGCTGGCTCGGGGGGCTGTTCCCTGCCAGAGGGGTGAGCTTTAAAGATGAAGGTTTGTCTTGAATTATAAAGCCAGAGGATGCCTGACGCGGCTCCTAGAGCCAGGTATGGAACGCTTGTTTGGGCGTGTGGTTAAAGGCTGTTTCATTACGCCATGCGGCCGTCCTGGTGTATTTACGACCATACCGTTCACTGCTGTTCCAATTTCCACACTCTGCTTGCGAATGTGGTCTCGGACATTTGGGCAAAGTGAAGAGAAGCTCCCGGGCTCACCTGGAAGGAAACACCCACCATGTATAGCACACGGCTTCATTTGCCTAGCTCAGAAAGACGACTCAACCCCACAGCGTTTAATAGGATTCCAGAGAGTCAGGGGGGGTTCGAACTGGGGGCCTACGCAGCCTGGCTGCTGCTCTGTGTAGATCTCACACTAGAAAGACCCAGTTTAAAACCCCTAGTCAGCAAAGCAGCTCCAAACTAATGACAGGTCAGTCACATCCCCGGATGGGAACTTCCAGGCCCAGCCATCACTCCGCTTCGGATTCAGAGCCTCCCCTTCTTCCCCCAACGTTTTCCAATAGCTCCTCACTCCTTATTTTCCTGGAGGTTGGACTATAATCTCCCCACCCAGCCACCGCGCTCTGCTGTGAGAATCAATACTATGCCTGCATCTAGCCCCTCTTAAAATCCATCCCTGGCTCCCTGGCCCCTTCAATTCCTTATTCTCATCTTCAAGGCCCTACGCAGCAGAGCTCAGAACATCCCCTTTCATTCCCTCTGCCAAGGCCTCTTTGCTCAAAGGGCAGGAGCGTCTTCCTATCTTGAAAGCACCAGAAAGTCCCTCTGTTCTTTCTTTATCTCCTCACCTGCCT